GTAGCGAATATTCTTAGAAGTATCTACTACATTCAAAGAAGGGAAGAGAACAGAAAGGAAAAGAAAAATGAACATGTATATATACGCTGTGTGTTTTTCATCTAAATGTAGCTGACGATGATTACAGGTGTAATTGAAAGCTTCTGTTTTAAATAAAAATTTTAAAACTATGATTGTTGAATTAATACAATTAATCTTATCTTCTTTCTAGAGGGAATGTCCCTAAATAGAACGAAAAAATCTGAATACTACTGCAAATGTATACTCGGATTCATGAAGATAGCCCAACCATTACATAAATTCGCACCGACCACGAAAGAACAACGCTGTAAAAAGTCAAAATCTTTACCCGTTACTTTATCCGATGACGAACTCAACGCATTCAACGAACTGAAGCGAATCGTGACTACCGATCTTGTATTACGCATTCCAAACGAACAATTTCAAAATACAAACCGATGTATCCAAAGTTGGAATAGGAGCTGTCCTACTGCAGACTCATTCCAATGGTGATCGCCCGATTGCATATTTTTCCAGAAAGTTAGCACCAACACAGATGCACTGGCCTGCCACAGAACAAGAATGTTATGCCATCATATCAGCAATTGAAAAATGGCATAAATATCTTGATGGACGTCCATTTATTATTGAAACAGATCATAAACCATTATTACCATTTTATTTAAAACAACAACTGAATTCAAAATGCGAGCGATGGCGTTTACAATTACAGCAATACCAATTCGCCGTTCATTATATTAAGGGCAAACACAACACCGTAGCCGATTATTTATCACGTTCGCCTGTCGATGATGCCACGAACGACGAAGATGATTACCTCCCAACCACATCCCGAGGGACACAAACCGAAAATTCTACACCACTACAGATGGTAGCACCCGTTGTCACCCGAGCGCAATCAAAACAATATGATAAGAGGACTGATCGTTATGCAACGGATCAGACCTGTGATCAACTGTAACAGAAGAGGGACGATCACGCACTGGTCAATCACTCCTGTATTGCACCAGATCGCCAGCTGTTAACTAAAAACGTCACTGATAATTCAATCGTTCCATCCGCAAAAGGTGATATCAAAGCATTGAGCCCAAATGATCCGAATCAAATTACCCCATTTACGCACGGACAATTAAAAGAATTACAACATCAGGACGCACAGGCAGCACAGATAATCCAGAATATTGAAGATTATCAGAAATATTTTCTCAGAGACATTTATGGAAAATTTCGTCAGGATCGGATGTACAGTGTCAAAGATAATTTCTGAGGGGGTGGGGAGGGGCCCTTAACCTTTTGGGTTTTAACAGCAAATCGGATCCCTCAAAATGGTAACAGGTCATTTTGTAAACTTACCTACTATTCTCTTCGAAATATGAGGCAAGTTGCTGCTTTTTGAATAAACCATGAACGACGCAAGACATTGACGTGCGGTTTCCAGCATTCGATAGCAAGACCTTAATATTTTTTTAGATCTGGTAACCTCCAAAACGAATGGAAACAAAGGTAATCGACCACGCTGAATCTCGTAGCAATATTTATTTTTTAGAAAATTCAGAAACCTTGAGGCTCAGATGAAATACTCGGAAAAGCACGACAGCCATTGTTTTTTTATATAAGCTTTATTCTGTCAGAATACGAGCGGAAGAATATTCCATTATAGTATTCTAAACTAAAACTATCGAAAAACACAAAATCAATTTTTGTACGAATAGAGATTCGAACATGTGAACTTAGCTTTG